TTTTAAAGCTACTACTTAAATGTATCGTGAAGCTTATAATAAGATCATTTTTCACTGAACAAAAAATAATTTTTTGAAGTAGTCAACTGTTTTAGATAGCTGTTTTAAAATGACATAGTCTTACCAAATTTTCATACTTGTTTCAAAATATAAAGATGTTGTGTTTTACTGTTGTTAAAGAGACTGATATCCTACATTAAATAAGAAAATGGAATTCAGGCTCAAAGTTAGAATACTTAAAGTTTTCTATTTAGTTAAATTATTGTGTAAAAATAGTTACTTATTCAGTTTACTACACAAAGTATCAGTAAGTATGTAGTTTTCTATTAGAGTAACATTAGCGAGACCAAATGACATAATAAAAAACTTGAGTTCCAGGTCAATTTGTCATCTTGGGACTAGCAACGTGGCATTGGATAAGTCATTTAATTATTTGAAATCTTAACTTTCTTATATGTAGAATTAAAACCTATATATTCTTTTTTCCTAATAGGACTGTGTAAGATTTTTAAAAAGATGACTATTTATACCTATCATCTGTATCTCTATATATCTACATATTACACTTTAATGTGCACTTCATGACTGTTTAGCATTACTGATAGGTATAAAGTCAATTTAGAGGCAATGATCTGTGGTGGTTTAGCAATATGGGATTTTTCATTCACTTCCAATGGGAGGACAAAACAATAAATATTTTTGGGGGTCCTTATGCTTTGCGCAAGTAATTCAATTTCAAGGAAATTATCCTAAGAGGTAGTTATTTTTGTGCACAAAAATTTAGCAGCTACAAAGAAGCTGATAACAGCCCTGTTCAGGTTTATTAGCTATAACCCAAATGTCCCATAATAGAGAATTAATTAATAAACTATTGTGGTTCAACAAAATGGAATACTTTTAGCCATTTAAAATATTACAGAACACATGTAGTAGTGTTATTAAAGAGTCTCATAAAATCTTTGCTGGTCACAATGCCATTTGGCAGCCTTCTTTTCAAGTGACAGTCACCTTTATTTTCTCTCCTCTTGCTTTTCTTTCTCCTTCATCCCCATTAGAAACTCAAAGTTATTGCTTAATACGCAGAAATAGGAAAACTGTCTCATCTTAAAGGTTTCTACTTTAACACATAAAAGACCTTTTACTAAAAAGTTATCCAGGTACATGAACAAAATGTACACAATTCTTCTTAAAAAGTAGCAATATCTCAATATGATGTTATCTTAAATAAAAGTTATTGTTAGCTACTTTAGAGATAATGTGACTTTGCAAGTTACTCTCATCTAAAGATGAATCAGACTGTCTTGCGAGGTCATGAGATTTCACTCACCGAGAGTTGACAGACAGAATGACTGACCACATTACAAAGGTAAAACAGAAATGATTCAAACATGGCTGGAAAGTGGAATAATTAAAACTGAAGATAATTTTAAAGCTGAGGTTCCATGATAATTATTTCACCTGTTATACATGGGTGGGCAAAAGTCGATTAACAGCTGTAATACAAATAAATAATATAATAAAATTAATAAATAAGAATATAAGAATAAACTGTTTCATGTACTCAGACCTATAAACTTACTTTGCCTCAGCCCTCAACAATGCATGACTGATGAGTAAATACACTGGCTGCTGAATTCTGTTCCAATTGTTTTAAAGACCATAACAACCAGGATAATTATCAATAATTACCAAATAATAATTCACTTGATTTTTCAATTATACACCGTAGAAAGGCCATGCAATGAACCTAAGTTATTTGCCAAGTTTCTATGGGTTTTGTAGTGGTATGTGGGAAAAGTAGTGAGTTATAAACTTGCAGTTTAAATAAGAAACTGATCCTATAAATGTGTTATACTTTATATAGAAGGATTGGTAACATCTATATAATAATATTATCCTTAAACATATTTCTTCCCAGTTTTTTTATGCATGGCACAAGATTAATAGCTCATGTCCAGAGCTGTAATCAAAATCAATACATTTTATTTTTGGAATAAAATGGGCAAATTTCCTTGGCTCACCTCTGATTTCAGCCACAGATGTGGAGGACAGCTCCAGGGCCCCTCAGACTCATGTTCACCATCTCCCACTCCAAGCACGTGCTGAGCCCCTCTGCTGCTCGGAGCCCCAGGAAGCTAAGCACAAGCAGCACCCGAGAATCGCCCCCCAAATGCCTTGCCAGGGAGCTAACACCCCTGAGACCAGCTTCAACCAATGAGGCAAAGAGCAGATGAGTACACGCACCAGTTTCTTGTCTTTCCGTTGGGCAGTTAAGAGAGGCATTTGGGACATTCTTTCTTAGGTTGGCCACATTTTGAAAAGGAAAATAGTTGGTGTTAATTTCAAGTCACTTGTATAGCCTTCTCTCATACACGGTCTCACTGATTCTTACCTGACCTTGGGAAGAGGTCAGAAACCAACAGAGGAAGAGACTGATGACACGGCTCCTCCCACCAGCCCTTCCTAGAGATACTGATCATCTTGGCTAATATTTTTTGAACACTTAAACTACTTCAGTCATGTATTAAGCACCGAAAAATGCCAAATAATACAATCCTCACGATAAAATTCTGAGAGGAATTTAAAGAACAATATCCCCATGTTCCAGCTGATGACATGAAAGCACAGACGGGCGCCTGGCTTCTCCCTGAGTGCTGGACACTCACTGACCCAGAGTTAAAAACAGTATAGAGTAATTATGCCCTGAGTGCAAATATGCTCATTCCTAGTTCAACTTTTTTCCCCACCACCAATTCTGAATTCAAGAAATTAGGAAACCTGTGCTCATTGGGCCGATTTTCCAGGAACTCTCGATTTAGTGTGTAAAAATGTCTGATGAAATCCACCAGTACCAGGTGGTGTGGTAGCAGAATGGTTCTCTTCCTGTCCCACCCTCCACCCCCAATCCACATCCTAATCTCTGAAATCTGTACATATGTTACCTGAACAGCAAGGGGGAATTTAGATGACACATGGAAGTAAGGTTGCTACTCTGATCACGTTAGAAGAGGGAAATTATTCCACGTTACCCAGGAAGGGTCCAAAAGAATCACAAAGATCATCGAAAAGCAGAGGAAAGCAGAAAAGGGAGAATCAGACATGACAGCTTAAAGAAGAGTCGGTTGGCTATTGCTGGCTTCACGGATGAACATGTGAATGGGACCAGGACCCAAGAAGTGCCGAGGAAGGTCAGGGGCCTCTACACGGTGGAAAGGCAAGAAAACAGCTTCTCTGAGAAAGGACCACAGCCCAGCAAACACCTTGATTTTAGCCTCGTGACAATATCTTCAGACTTCCAACCTCCAGAGCTATGAACAATACATTTTCTTCTTGTCTTAAGCTGCTATGTTTATGGTAATTATCATAGCAGCAATAAAATTAATGCAAGTACGTATTTAGTCATTGGAAAATGTAGGTAAGTCATTCAAACCTGTCATATCGTCTTCCTGTCTCCTTCCCCATCTCTCTTCTTCCCTTCCTGCCTTTCTGGTGAAATGAAAGATTGTTCTGGTTATCATTTACACGAACAGAGAATTTTTCTACTTAGGCAAAGCACACTCACAGACAACTCCGCAGTAAAATCAGAAATAAAATTTATGTTGACACACTTTAGCAGGATCCCTTTGAAGACAAAGGTCAGACTGATGGATGAATATACCATGGCTTTAAACCTAAAATGTCTTCTTCAAATTTCAACAGGCCATTAAAATTATAAACCAACATTATATTACTGTTTTTCCAAAGTGATTTTAACATCAATCATTTATCTCAAGCTTTCACTTTGACATGATGTGGCACATCCCAAGCCTTCAATTCTTATAGCCACATGAAGACAGAGAGGTTACCCCAGGAGCTCTCTCTGATTTAGTTGAGAAAGTCATCAAAAAAGGCATTTAAGTATGGTCATTCCTCTTCACTTCTAACTTTTTCCAATTTACTAAATAAATCTGTTTGAAATAATGACCGAGCTGCTAAATGAATCAGAGCCCAGAAGTTCCGTTTCTTATTATAGAAATTCTTATTCGGGATCTGAATGTATTAGATACCGTGTATGTAGCGCCCGAGATGAAGGAGAAATGAGACTGGGCTACAGTGGGAAGCAACCTTCCGGTCTGCTCTTCAGAGCTGGGACTTTGTGTGAGTCACTTAAACTGAGACTCAGTTTGCAAAGTGAAGACAATAATTCACAACTCCTCACATCCCGAGGAGTAAATGAATGAATGCAAATGACCATAGTTTATTAATGGCAAAAGTTATGCCTATATGTTATTAATTTCCTTATTTTGATTAGTTGTGATGCTTTATTTCTTTGTTCTAAAATTTAATATGTCATACATTTTCTGCACTTGCTGTTTGTTTTCATTTCCCTTCTTGTGATTTTATACCATTTTCACTTAAATATCTCTGAAAGCCTTACACTAGATTGAATATTATTCAGTATTATATAACATGTTCAGCATTACCTTGTATATTATTACGTGCATATGAGAGTGAAATGATAAACAATTAAATGTAGAATGACTTTACAGTAAGTGCTATAAGAGAAAGAATGTCATTTCATTAATACGTACTACTACATTTATTTTTCTTTGTTGATTTTAGAGAGAGAAAGGGAGAGGGAGAAATAGATAAAAACACTGATGAGAGAGAACATCGACTGGCCGCCTCCTGCATGCCCTGCACTGGGGATAAGGCCCTGAAACCTGGGCATGTGCCCTGACTGGGAACTGAACCGGTGACCTCTTGGTGCCTGGTCAATGCTCAACCACTGAGCCACACTGGCAGGACTCATTAATACATAATACTGCAGTAATGTCTTCATGATTGTTATAATAATTATTATTATTTCCTACATTTACTGTCAGATATCAGGCTTTACACGAATCGGTTCAAATTCACTAAATGATATTTTTTATGTCCTCGTTTTATAGATGAGGAGCTGGTGACTTTGAAACCTACTAACTAAGTTGCTCATAATTACTCTTCTAGAAAGCTGAAGAGTTGTAATGCCAGAGGCAATGTTTATAATCACGAAACCCTGAAGCCCAGGCTGTTCCGCTCCAAACCTGCTCCTACTTTCCCATCTGACCCTTCGAAACAGCCAGACTGTCATGAAATGGAACATATTTGCATTCAGTGACAGGTAATCATGGTCCAGAACTTATATTGTTGAATAAATCTCTTATAGTTAGTTTTAGTGTTCCTAAATTAAAAGATTTTCTTTGTATTTTTCATCCTAAGAGTAACAAAATAATAATTAATAATTAATTGTTACTTTCAGATTGGGGATTGAGTCTATAACAATGAAAGAGTATTGATATATAATTAATTTACTCAGCTTAGAACTTCTCATTTGGTACATTTTCTTCCATTTTTCTATTATGTTTGAACAGTTTTGACATTTGTTTTTTAAAGAATGCCACTTTTCATCATGACCTCTGAAAGGTACAACCATTTATATCACTTTGAAATAATAATTAGTACTTTTCCTTGTTTGAATTTTCATTTGATTCATGGACAATATTAGTAATTACCGACTCTTTATGTTCTGTGTAATGTTCATGACTTTTGATGGTTTTCAATATGCTTACTCTATCAGAGAACACACGTAAGTAATGCTAAATATTGTTTACATGAAAAGAACATAAATAATCCCTAATCTTGATATAAACTCGTCAGATCCTCAGAGGATCTGAATATCTTACTAGTTTTTTCAGAATATTTTTCTGAGAAATATCTCTTTTCTACATTGCACTATTCTTATTCAAATAGTTCTGAAATCTGTAGCCATTCTCGTAAGACAATAAAAAGAAAGAAAAAGAAAGAAAAGCCATACAAATTTTAAAAAAGAAATAAAATTATCTCTATTTGTATATGACGGGTTGTTTACATAGGAAATTCCCTAAATCTGTAACATTTTCTATAAACACTGAGTTCAGTAAGGTCATATGATACAAGGTTATAAGATCAATACACGAAAAAGATGTTATCAAGTGTTATGCTAACAATGAATATACAGAAATAAAAATTAAAAAAAAACTATACCAATTATAATGGCTTCAAAGAAAGTTACAAAGTTTACAAAACATGTACAAATGATGTATGCTGAATATGACAAAAATATTCATGAAAGATATCACTTAAAACCAAAAAATAATGGAGACACACAACATCTTCATGACTGGAAGACTCAATTATAGTAAAGATGTCAATTCTCCTAAAATTTATGTGTGGGTTTAATGCAATTTCTTGCAAAATCCAAACAAGGTATTTTTAAACATTAAAATACATGTTATAAAAATTATATGTAAAAGAAAATGCTCTAGAATAGAAAAAAGTCTTGAAAATAAAAAGAATAAGTTTGTAGGACTCTCTTTATTCAATATTAAGGCCTACTTTATAGCTACAGCAATCCAGATATTGTCAGATAGTTATTCCAAACAATGTAAAAGAAAAGAGAATTTAGAAAGAAACACTAATAGGCCTAACTGATTTTTGTCCAAGGTGTAATAGGAATTCAGTCAAAGAAGGGAATACATTATAGCAATAAAATTGTCATAGGCAACACACACACACACACACACACACACACACACAGAAAAAATTGACATAACATTTGCATCTTATTCAAAAATTAATTCAAATGTAACATGTAATATAATAAAACCTTTAGAAAGAAATTGGACAAAATATTTAGTATGTAGGGTTTTGCAAAGCATCCTTAGATGTGATAACACTAGCCCAATCCACAAAATTAAGAAAATGTGGTACCTCATCAAAATTTAAAAATTTGTTCCATTAAAGACCCTATAGAGAGGATAAAAAGACAAGCTACAGAGATGGAGAAAATATTTGCAAATCATATATCCAACAAAGGACTATCATCTTAATATATAAAGAACTCTCAAAACAAGAGTAAAAACGTACATACATTCCAATTGGAAAATGTACAGACATTTTGCTGAAGAAGATATGTGGATGAAAACTTGAACACATGAAAAAATGATGTCAACATCATTAGGCATTAGGGAAATGCAAATTAAAAGCAAAATAAAATATCACTATACAGCAATCACCATGTCAATACACATATTGTAGGTTTAAAAAATAATGACAACACCAAAAAAGGAAAGGATGCAGAGAAACTGAGTAATTCACACATTACTGGAAAAATTATACAATGTTCCACCTAACATATATAAAACAGTTCAGCAGTTTCTTATAAAACAAAACATATATCTGCCATACCACCAGTAATTGAACTCTTTGGATATTTATCCTAGGTAACTTATGTAACACAAAATCTTGTGCACAGATTTTCATAGTAACTTTATTTATAATAGCCAAAATGTAAACAACCCAGATACTCTTCAATAAATGGTGGTATATTCATACTGTGGAATACCACTCAGTAATAAAAAGGAAGAAATTACTGATACATACAATTTAAATGAATCTCCAGGCAATTAGCTGAGTGAAAAATAAAATGCCAAAAGGTCACAAGTAAATGTTTCTCTATAACTTTCTTAACACCAAGAGGTTAAGGTGACAGTGTGGTTTCCAAAAGGCACGAAGGGATCCCTGTGGTGATGAAAGTATCTTCTGAATCATGTCAGTATCTTTTTTATAATGTTGTTTTGGAAGATGTTATCCTTGTGGGAAACTGGGTAAATGTTGCATGAAATCTTTCCGTGTTTGCTCAATCCCCAACTTGTAACCCATGTTATCAACCTCATAGACCTCCTCTACCCGTCTCCGAGGCCCTCTTCACTTGAGCCCTTGCCTCTGCCAAGCTTCTTTCCCAAGTTCAAATGCTCTGTCCTTTCACCTTCCTCTTGCTGGCTCCTGCTTCTACTGGGCTGTCTTTGCTCTTGTCTACCCACCTCCAGGAAGACAGGCAGGAAGAAAGGGAGGGAGGGGGAAATAAGTGAGGAAGGAAGGAAGGAGGGAGGGAGGGAGGGTGGGAGGGAGGGAGGGAAGAGAAAGAGAGGGAAGGAGGGAGGGAGGGAAGAAGGGAAGGGAGGGACGGAGGGAGGGAGGAAGGAGAAAATAATTTATCTGTTCATCTGCAATTAGCCTCTTGGGTCATCCTTCTGCATCTATAATCATAGATCTTTGACCCATAAATGGAGATGTAGATACTCAAGACTGGTGTCTACCCTCAATACAATAAGCACAATTACTTGTTTTTAACTTAGTTTCACACAGTCTTTTTTATCTATCCAGCTCTGAAATACTGTCTCAATCTCTAAAGGTGCCTTGGCCATTAATCGTCTGAACTTGACATTTGTTTGCGATTTGTTTGCTATTTCTTGGGTATTTCCATGTCAGCATTCCTCTATTGATTTTGACTTGACTCTTTTCTTCCAGCTCTAGACATTCTGAATTGCCTAAAAGTAATTTTCCACTTTAACTCTCTAGAACTTAGTTCTTGATGTCAACTACTCAGAGTACAAAGGAATGGAAAAATGAGTGAGTTGACTGATCTAACCAGAGTGTGTATGCTGAAAAGAAATTTTAAATGTGCCATATTACACTTTTTGGGACTCCTGACACTGGAAGTAAAGTTTTGGTTTGATGAAGATGACAATAGGGAGTAAAGATATAGTCTCGATTTTTAAAATTAAATTTATTAGGGTGACATTGATTAATAGGATCACATAGGTTTCAGGTGTACATTTGTATAATACATGATCTGAATATTGCATTGTGTTCCCACCACCCTAAGTCAAATCATCTTCTGTCACCCTTTACATTTCTTGTGTGACACGATAGCACTGACTTTCAGAAAAGTTTTGTCAAAATTCCCTGCATAGGAGTCTTCTGCAACAGATATAATAAGGTAAGGGTAATTGCTGTGAATTGAAGAAGGGTACAAATTTTAGGGCCGTTTTGAAGGCTGATATTGTCTAATTGATAATATATTAAAACTAAGCTTTTTTCTTTCTTTCCCTTTGAAGTTACTTATAAGTTTTCTATATTATTAAATCACTTCCTGAGGCAGAAGTGGCTCAGTTTCTCATTTAGCCCATTATTCCTTTATTAATAGAAGTTCCCACCCCAAGTTTTAGCAAGGAACAGAACACCTGTTAGAACTAGCATTTCCCTCCTCCCCTTGCAGTTCCACGTAAACAAAGGACTAGGTGTTGACGAACACATCAGTGGTGGGTACTAGTTCCCAATTGTGATATTCGAAGACAAGTCCTTTCCTCCGCTTCCCCTGTCCTCCCTTCCCCAGTGCGGAAATGCAGAGATGATGGCACGCGGCAGCCTCAAGCTGGTGGAGAGGGAGAACAACCTCATGCCAAGGGCTGCAGATTCGGAAGTTCTAAGGAACCTATTGTCACTGGGTGTCTCAGTATCTGCTTATGTCTGAAATCTAATGTGAGAGAAAAATAAAATGTATGTTGTTCCCTGTATTTTGGGAAAATAACTAATATTAATTATCTATCTTTTACCCTTCTCTTAACATTTTATCAAGAGCTTTTCAACTATCTCTAAATAGTAAAGTGTACAATTTTCCATTTCTAATATTGAATACAGAATTTCCATGCCATGTATTTTCAACCTTTCAATTTGTTTTTTCCTTCATCTCTTGTGAATGTCTTTTATTTTCCTTTACAAGTATTTACCTTAAAAATATCAAACAAGTCAGGAAAACAATAATGGTATGTAAAAGCTGTAACATGGTGGTATTTATTAAATGTAAATGCATGCCAGGGTTCTTCCTAAGTGATCTTCATATATATCTTTGGCTTTCACCAAGATCCTATGTGGTATTTCCTCTAATGCTCCTTCATGGAAGAAAAACATAGGCTTAGAGACATCTAATAATTTGTAAAGTATGGCAGGCAGACAAATGACCCCAACACAAAGATGTTCACTTCCTAAATCCTGAAGGCCGTGAATATGATACATGACAAATAAGATTTCACAGATGTAATTAGGGTTATTAATCTATTGCCCTTAAGATAAGGGGGTTATCCTGGATTATCTAGGCATCTGGATAATGTAATAAGGCAATGTAATCATATGAGTTATTAAAAACAGATAACCTTTTCCCAGCCATTGTCAGAAAAGGAAATAGAAGAGAAGTAACAGAAGAAGATATTGGAGAGATTTGAACCCGGTGCTCCTGGAGGC